GTTCTCCGGAGAATCCGAGGCAGCTGGCCTGCTTCTTAAAATGTTCTAGCTCAGAATCTGTCAGGGTCTGTCTCCTGCCTGGAATTAAAGTTAAAAATTATGAAATATAATTTTCTTGCAAAAGAGAGCAGGATATTTTAAAAATGAGAGTGATTTCTTCAAACCTAAAATGTACAAAGCGTGAGCGTTGAGTTCGTCAGGCATGTCCGTGTAGCTCATTTTCATGACTTCAAGGGCCCTTTTTAAGTTTTTAGAAGTGATGTTTATGTTTATGACCATACAGCCATCACAGCTTGGCAGCACTTGAAACTCAGATGTCATATTAAGTTCTGGGAATGAACAGCAAAAAAAGGAAAACATCAATAAGATATCAGAGATCTATGGATAAGAATTACCTTACAAATGATAAATGACCCATCACAAAAATTTCAATCACTGCTTTAATATATACCTGCATGATTTAAAAAAAGCAAATGATTAAATCCTTGGAAATAATTTTTTAGAACAAAAAAAAACAAACTAAAATAAATGTAGTGTTGAGAAGAGCAATTAGAGTTTTCTCGCTTACTTGAGGTTATCAAGGTGTTTCCTTCTATCTTCGCAGTTGAGGAATATTTAATGCATGTTCCATTCCTAGAAAAATATTGGAGAATAAAAAGGTGGGTTCATAACATGTGCAAAGAAGCCTTGATAGTCTTTTACTACACACTAGAATGTTTTTCAAAAAGCTTTTGAGTTTATGTGAAACATACTTCCTAAAGATGAACATGACCGGGTCCTGAAAAATCAAAGAATAAATCTACACAGAGCATTTGAGCATTGAGAGCTGAATATCATCCTGATTTATTTTTTTGTTTTAAAAAAAAGTGAAACTGTATAAACTGAACTTCTCGGGGGGCTGGTTTAATGTTACATTATAACTTTTTTCACATTTTCATGTGAACCTGTTTAGTCCAGCAGCACCTCTCTTAAAACTCCCTCAGTGCTGCCCATGTAGGGTTCAACGGTAACTAATTCTGTATTTATTTTTTTATTGTTTCTAACAGCAATTGCTGTCATCATCAGAGCCCGTGTTTGGGTAAAAATATGACTCACCCAGACACCCCCTTATGCCGAGTCACCCTGTCCTCTTCTGCCTTGACAGCAGGATTGATCTGTGGCATCACTACCAGCATCCCCCTCCCTACATTTTGACTTGCTTATGTCATTCTTTGATCTCATCTTTGTTATTTTTTTATAATAGACCCTGAGCTGTTTTCTAACTGTATGTTTTGCTTTCCGTTTGCATAGATAAGATTGTACAGTAAACTTACATCCTGTTCCTCTGATTCATGACAATCTCATTGTTTCCTGCTGGCGACGCTGTAAGGTTTGTCCAGGAACTGTCAGTCAGCTTCAGCAACGATTTATAAAAGTCATGATCTGCATAGCCTGCAAGGAAAACCTTCTCTCCATACAACTGCACACAAACAGGAGGTTGGTTGGACATCAGGCCAAGGTTAATATAAAAAGCATTTGACAAACAAGGTTTTTCTTAATATCTTGTTTAAAGAAGTGACTGGATTTTAAGAATGTTGTAAATAATTTAGCCAAAATAGAGATTAGATCTATTTTCATTGAAAGAAAGACATAAAAACAGCAGGAATAGGATTCTTAAATATAATTTGTATTAAAGGTGACAAACTAGACAACCCGCTGGTATTTGCTTTTGTTTCAATGTATTTACATCACAGCATTTCCATAAAAAAGAAAAAAAACCTCAGTTAAACTGCACAAGTGGCCTAATCATGAAGACGAAATGTCTCAGTATTTAGAGAAAACAAATTGAATTAAAGAAATATCAAATAATAAACATGAGAAGGTCCTTACCACTGATGGGTCGGCCAATGAGATGGGTGAGACCAGTGGCTGGCATTCTTCAGGTGTCAGAGCTGAGCTGCTCAGAAGCAGCGACGCAAAGAGTAGAGTGCTGAGCCACAGGTTCATGATGACAGTTAAGCTTCAGAGGGAATCTGTTTGAAAAAAAGAAAGAAAAAACCCTAAACAGTAACTTTCTAAACTTTTAAACAGATCAACTGCACCTTATCCTTAGAGATGCTTGATTTTTATATGATCTGATGGTGCAACGAGTGTTTGGACTTTCAAACTGTTACATAACTCTTAGAAATTTACTAGCTTCTACTTTATGTACTAAAGAAAAGCAAACAAAACCAAGAGACTAAAAATCTCTGCTAACTCAAGGATCATGCCTATTGATTTTTTCTTATGACAATGATGGGTTTGTGCATCAATTATTTGTGTTTCTGTTTGACTGACTTTTGAAACCAAAGGACACACCGTCTACCTGATTGCATGTGAAGCACGGGAGGCTTTTGTCTTGGGTTAAGCCCACAAAAAGATTGATTTCTTGATCCCAAGTTAAACTTTACAACAACTTTTGCTTAAACTAAAAATTTTTGGAGAATTTCCACTGGGATTTTTTTGTTCCTTTTTTTAAGAACTATAAAGTTCAGTCTAAATCTAATATTTGTAACCAAAAAAATGAAAAAAGAAGCTACTGATTATAAACTTTCTATTAACGGTGAGTTCAGCTGGTGAGTGTACGGCATGATATTTTTATTAACATTTTACTTTAGTGTGACTTATATGTGATTCCTGAAAACAATAGTGAGAAATCATGCCTATAGTTCCATATAACCCTTGAAAGCAAAGCAACAAGTAAATAGACAGCACAGTGAAAATACATAAACCTCCTGCTCTCCATGTTCTTTGAAAAACAAAAAGATGTTCTTCAGCAGATGTGATGGTGAAATTTAGCTGCCCCATAATCAGGTATAGCATATTTTGACACCCAACTCCCAAGTATTTGCTTGCTAACACTTAAAATGTTCATTCATTGTGCTGTGTTTTGCTTTGCAATATGGCTGATTATCAAAAACATATCATTCTTTCACAGTGACTCTGCATGTCACCTCTTGGCAGTTTTAGGTCTGGGACCAGATTTTATCAAAAAACACTGATGAAACAATGCAACAGAGCAAAATTTTATTTCATTTGTTACACTGACAAAGTGCACCAGTTCGAGCTGCATGTTGCACGCATCTGTTCAAGCAGATGCGAACTGTAGACCCGATCTTAATATGTAAGAAATGAAAAATGTAACAGTTTAATTTTTTAATCACTGTTTATGTTAATTTGTCAAATACAAAAAAACAGTGGCGGTTCTAGACCAAATGTACCAGGGGGGCAGGAGGGGGCCAGTGTGTTTTAATGGGGGCACAGAAAAGCATGAAATAAAAACAGGGCAAGGGATTCAAATATATTAAGATAGCTGCATGAGGTAACATTTTTATTCAAAAAGGTTTGATTAAAATGCTATGTCTTATTAGGTCAATATACATTCAGAATTTAGGAATTTTACATAGTTTCCACTTTATTTAAGTTCAAATTACTGTCTATACAATCTGAATTAGAACTCAAGAAAAACTGATAAATGCAGCTGTAAAAATTTGAGTATTTTTTAAAATTTAGTTTAAAAAAAATATTTAGCAGATAAAAAAAACGACATCCTATTTCAAGAAAAAAATGAAATAGATCCAAAGGACCTATCAGTAACCATGTCTATTCCAGTGCATATTATCATTAGAATTTGAATCCTTTAGTATTATGTCTTCAGTACAGGGGCCAGGACGTGATCTACAGGGGCACTGGCCCCTGTTGGCCCCTGTCTAAAAACATCCATGCAAAAACTAATATTTAAAGGGACCAATGGCTTCCTGTACCAGCTATTGGAGCAGCTTATTCTAGAACAGGGTTGTTAAACTCAAGTCCTCTAGGGCTTGTATTCTGCAACTTTTAGATATGTCCCTGATGCAACATATATGAATCAAATAGCTTAATTACCTCCTCAGTTGAAGTCTTTATCCAGAGTCCCACAAAGGATGTTTATTCAATTTTTTTTAAAGGGGTCGTACATCTAAAAGGTACAGGACCTTCAGGACTGGGTTCTGACATCCAGAGGCCAAGGCTTCTGAGGCATCTGACCATGAAATGGGGATGAACAATTTCTGAGTGGTAATTTGGTTCAAGCATTTTAGATAATTGGTTACATGGAAATCAGGCTAAACTTTTAAAACACTCTATCTAGACTCACTTTAACCTGCTATGGAAACATGTAGAGATGGAGCTTCTTTTTATATTTTTTAAACAGAGCTGCTGTATTCAGTTTCTCTAGGGTAGGGGTCACCAACTTGGTGCCCACAGGCAAAAGGGGGCCCTCAGTGAACACATGGGGTGCCTTTCAACTCACCAGTGGGCTGAGTTTGAGATTTGATTTTATTCTGTTGCTCCTTTTTTTTTTACCATTTATATTTATAAAAACTCTAAATCTTGTCACATACTAAACATCACACTGATAAAACCTAATTAAAATTTTGCATAATTGCACCAAACATATTTATTGCTCTGAACTTCCATATCAATGATTTTTGCACCATGTCTTTTCTCCCACACTATTTACATTTGATCACATTTGCACTTTATGGAATGGAAATGTTCTGAAAGCTGTACAAAAAATGATTTTTTCTTTTTGTATACACACTGTGTATACAAAAATACAATAAAAGTTGTCTAAGTCTAAGTCCAACAGCAGGGGTCACCAAACTTTCTAAGGTCAAGGGCTAATTCATGGGTACTGAGTCATAGAAAGGGCTACCAATGTTGACCTTTGAACTGGAGGATTCAGCATTCACCTTAATTTCATAAATAATAAGCAGATTTTAATTGTTTCTTTTAACTCATGAAATGATAAATTGCTTTACAAATTATTAAAAAAAAAAGGACAACAGAAAAAAATAAAATTTAGATCTTATCCCACTGGTAAGTTGTGCTGTTTTTAGAAGATGCTAAGGGCATCCCATGAGGCCCCTTAGTGCATTTGAAGGGATTTCAAAATTAAATTATCTAAAAGAATTTTTTAAAATAAAAGACACAATAAAATATGTTTAGTATGTATGAAGTTGTGGTGAATGCTGTCTCCTCCAGTTCATTGGTCAGTATTGGTAGCACATCCTATGACTCAGTACCCATGAGGTATCTTTAAGCCTTAAAAAGGCTGGTGACCCCTTCTCTAGGTTATGTTACAGTTGCGGTAGGCCAACACAAAAACATTTCAAAACAGTAGCCCAGTTTGAGCTGAAGAGGGTGCCAAGAAGACAGTTTAGACACGGTTTCTGCAGATTGGATGTAAATACATTAATCAACTAGTGAAAGATCGGTTTGGGACAGAGAGACAACTTTATTTATACAGCACATTTCATGCACAAGGCAACTTAATGCGCCTCAGAGCAACGTCAACAATAACACAAAAAAACAAATTCAATCAATACAAATATATATAAAAAATACATACTATATATTAAAACCAATTAAAATGCAATCAATCACCACAGGCACTAAATAGGCATGTTTTCAACCTGGACTTAAACATAGTCAGGACTGAGCCTTTTTTTACATCCTCACTGAACTGCGCCAGACCTTAGCTGCATGAAATTGAAACACAGCCTCACCAGGCTCCCTAGGGATCTCAAGGCTCAAGGTGGTTAATATGGCTCTCTGTCAGAGATGTACTTTGGTGCTAAACCACAAGAAGACTTGTACACAAGTCAAACTGTTTTAGAATCTATTCTCTGAGTCACAGGAAGTTAGTGCAGAGACCGGAGCACTGGACTAATATGGTCGCATTTCCTGGTTCTGGTGGGGATTCGAGCAGCAGCCTTTTGGATAAACTGCCGTTGTCCAACAGGTCATTTAGAAAGGTCAGTGAACAGGAGAAATACAAAGGGCCTGACTAACAAAGAAGGGGATTGTATCCCTTGTGTAAATAGTTGCAGCTCTAGTTGTCTGCTGGAGTTTGTGCAACAGCTGGGATTCTCCAAGGCCTTTGAAAGTTTCCAGGGGTAAAAGTAACATAAGCATGACTGAGAGATTAACATTGGGAGTAAATCTTCTGCAGTTAGAAGTAAACTGATTTTATTAGAGGTAAAACTGTCAGAGCAGGTTCTAAAACATTTGTGTTTAGATTCCCTCTGAACAGTACACTGCTGTACACCCATACTCTTTCACAATGCAACATACATTTAGCCAAAAAAAGAAAGTCGGTGCTATTATTATTTGGTAGGATTATCAAACATTCATGTCATTCAGGGCACAGAAATTATTTTTTATCTCTGTAGATGAACATTCATTATCTACCGGTATGTAAATCATTAACATGCAATTTATCTATAGATGTATTCATCTAGATTAGCTCTAGTTGGCTGGCATCCTATCTGCTGAAATGATGGAATACTGATGCCCTCGTCTTCTTTGCAAAAACCTGCAGAAAGAAAAAGGATAACAAGAGCTGTGTCATGATTAATTGTTTAAGGAATTTGACCGACATGCAGAGAAAACCACTCAGAGAACACTGGGAAAAGTTTAACAGGTTTATTTGATGTAACGTATACAGGAGTAGGATCTGGAACTCAGTGGACTGGTGAACCGGAACTGGAAAGTCTGATGGGGAGATCACAGAGTTCAGTTCAGGGACCATAGGAAATTTGACTGCGGCTTGGATAATGCTGGAGAAGGACTCATGTTTCAGGTGGCTCTTGTCAATCCTTGAATCCAGTCTGTGTGGGGGTAATCCAGAGAAGGGGGGGACTCGTTGGAGGGTGGACAGGTTGACATTCGTTGGACCCAGAGGAGTAATGGAGCGGATTGTCACTTGGATTTCCGATGGAAACTTGAACGGATCATGTGGAGGTTTTCCCCTGCTCAGTGTATTCTCAGTGATTCCGTCCAGTGGGAGAAGATTCAGGCAAACAGTTTTCACAGGAAGGCTTCCTGTAGAAGAGCAGACAAAAACACATTAAACTCAGAGAAACAAAGCTAGATTAGACTCTGCTAATCTCAGCTTGGCTAGAGTACCCAAATCTGGCAAACACTCTGGCGTTGTGGTAGTGACAGCCCACTGCCCAAATACTCCTCCAGTAATGAACCAACGAGCTGCGGGTGTGCAGGGAGGCCCAACGAGGACAGGACACCACCTGGTGGTGGAGAAAGAAAAAC